CTATGCATAGCATTACGGGCTGGCTTAAAATTAACTTAAGATTAACTAAGCAATGATGAAATCAGTGAAAAACATTAATGTAACTGATTTTATAAAGCACAAATGAGATTACAAAGAAAGGGATATGGTTGCATGCATTGTTATTTAAAATTTAGTAGAATGGGGTATTCTATTAGGTAGTGTATTTAAAAAATATATAAAGTTAGATTGGGTTTTAGGTTTAAATTTATGTGATATAATTGTGAGAAAACATTTAAGATATACAATTTATAAGGTTTAGTTATTCAGTAAATTTTTTTGGTTTTGGGTGAGTAAGTGATCTTTGAGAAGAGACTTGAATTTATAAACAGGTAGTGTTTCTTTTATATTTCAGGTAATGAATTCCAGATTTAGGGCCTTTTTTGTGAATTGAGTTTTTGCATAGCGTGAGATGGACACGGGAATATAAAAGAGTGATCTGTCCCTTTGGGTTTTTAGGGTCATGGTTCTGTTGAGGTTGGCAAGGGTGTTTGAGGGGGGGGTTTTTAAAATCAGAGTTGAGTGTTCTATGTATTATAGGTGCAGTAATAAGTAGGAGTTTTGTATGGTGAGTAGGTTGGTGTATTAAATATTGGTGGGTGTGTTCCCTTGTAGTGAGAATTTGTTATTTTTCAAACTGGGGGCTTTTGTTGGGTAATTAGTGGTTGAGATGGTTATTGTTGTTGACCCCCATGCACAAATTCCCATAGGTGAGACGGGAAAATAAGAGATGTATAGGGCCGGAGGGTGACTGTGGGTAAGTACCGTATCTTCGAGTATCCCTAAGTTTGGAAATTTTCTTAGAAATTTGTTTTATATGTGTAAAAAATTTTGGTCTTTTTTAAAAAGGTGGATTCCAAAGAATTTTCCCTTGTTAGCTTTGTATAGGTGACCCGTTTATTTTTATTTTAAAAGGGGAATCTGTAGCTCTTTTTCCAAAACTGAATGAAGTAGGTTTTGTAAATGTTTTGTGAATTTTGTTAGTACTCATCCAGGTAGATATTTTTTGAAATTTCGGTATTTCAGTATTGGTAGCGTGATGGGCTCGGGGGGGGAAAAGGACTTTTATGTTGTGTAATCGAAATAGTGTGGGTTTGGTAATTGGGAAAAACATTTGGTAGGTCTTTTATGATAGGAGAAAGAAAAAGGGGGCCCCAAGGACTTTTTCCCTGTGGGACACCAACTGAAATTGGTTGTGCAGAAGGTTTCCCCCCATTTGCGTACAATTTTGGGGCTTCTGTTGCTGAGGTATGATTGAGGTAGTTGGGGGTCCCTTTAACCATAGTGTGACAATTTTACGTGGAGAAAAGTTGGAAAGTATCAAAAGCTTTACGTAAGTCAATGAGACCCCAGGGGGGATTCTTTTTTCTCTATTGCGTGTATATATGTTTAGATGTGTATAATAGATCTTAGTTTTTTATTAGGCCTGAACCCCAAATTGGCGGGGGTTTTTGAGTAGTTTTGGGAGAAAAGGGTTAGGAGAGTTCGTTTTGAATTCTTTTTCAAAGATTTTTGGGGGAGGGTTAAGTTGGATTGGCCATTTTATTAACTCTGTTTGGTCTCCCCCTTTGTGGATCGGGGTGACCCTTGCTATTTTGAGTACTGTAGGGAAGGTGGAGGATTCAATGGTTTGTTAAAGAGTGTTGAAGTTGGTGATAGACTTGTGAACTTTTTTGTATATAAAGGGGGTAGTTTTTAAAAATCTCCTCCCTTTTTTTTTTGTGCGTTGTTAAAAGGGGGAATTCGTATGGGTTAGTCGGGGGTGGGAACAGTGTGTTCGGGTAGTTGCCGGTGAGGTAGTCATTTGGGGGGGAAATTGAGCTTGGGATTTTTTTGGCAGGTTTTTCTATAGGGAGAAGAAATCATTGAGTTTTTTTGGTTCTTTTGGGGGGATTTTGGGGTTCATCTGATTTTGTAATTTTATTTCGTATTTCGTGATATTTTTTTTTTCCCGAATTTTGATAGGGTTTTCCAGGTCTTTTTTTTTCCCTGTAAGTTGGATAATTTTCTCAAATAAAAATTTTTTTGCCCTTCTTATCAGGTGGTTAGGATTGCGAGTAACTTTTGTTTGGCTCTGGTTTGTGACCATTCTGTACTGTTTTTTTATCGGTGTTTTGTTTTTTTATGGATTTTAGAATGCTGGGTGTTGCCCGGGCTGTTCAGTCTCTTAGTGTCACTGCTTGTTTTTTTGGGCAGTGCTTGTTATAGGGTATGAGTCTTTTTAGAAATTTTAATAAATTGTCAAATCTGTATTGATTTCTGCTCAGTGTGCAGTAAAAGTTTGTACTGCTGTTGTGAAGTTTTAATGGCGCTCATTGTGAATCTGAAGGTGACTTTAGTAGTGTCTTGGGGTAATTTACCAAGATTGTTATGAGGAAGTAGGGTAGTGGTTGTGGTATTATCTGTAATTATGCCTGATTTTAAAGGGGATATGGTGTTTGGGCCAGATTGGTCAAGTAGGGAAAAATAGTCTCTGTAACTCTTGTGGTTTTGTTAATGTTGGTTTGGGAACATACAGTTATCTTGTGTTTGTGAATTCAGTAAAATGTGGGTCCCGGGCTTGCAGGAGTTTTATTTAGTCACTGGAGTAGTAAGTGATCTTTGTTATGGTGCATCGTTTTTATACTTCCTAGGTTTTTGCTAAAATTTGGGTATTGTTTGATGTGGAAAATTTTAGATGTTTTTTAAAAAAGAGGGTTTTTTTTAGGTATTTTGGATTTGGAATTTGGTTTATATTTCCCCCCGTTCATCTTTGTGCAAGTATTGTGATCATTTGTTGGTTGAGTAGATATGGGGTGTGCCACCCTTGTTGGTCTGGCCCACAGTTTGTATGGCTGTGTAAACAGGAAAGGGTAGAAATCTGTTTCTTTCAGGCTTTAGCCGGTTTCAGTTAGTGTAAAAATGGACATATTGGCATGAAGGAATTTTGTAATGCTTGAGGGGATCGTAAAGTTGCTTAAAGATCTGATATTGAGTTAAAGATAGTTATGTTGTTTTGGGGTTGGGGGAAGGGCCTTTGTTGTTTTGCAGTGTAGTAATTACAGTAACGTTTGATTCTTTAAATCATTAAATAAGAGGTTGGTATTGGTCAATGCTTGTAATCTAAAATTTGTAGTTGAATCTATAGTTAGAATTAAGTATAAAAAAAAAGTAAAAAGTTTAACTAAAAAGTAGCACCCGAATTTTTTAACAAATGTAAAAAAATGATAAGGTAGTTTTTTTTTTTTTTTTTTTTTTTTTTAAAACTAAAATAAAGGAGACAATATAAAAGGGACTAGTACAATAAAGTTTATGTCAAATAATGGAGCTTGGGAATATGATGTAGGTAGTATATAAATAAAGGTTTGGATTAATGGGCCCCCAAATTTGAACGTTCTACTTTAGCACCTGGAAAAGCACTTGTTATTTTTAAAAATGTGAATGTATAAGCTGGGTAGTTATATAAAGTAAATAAAGGAGAAAATATATAAGGGACTAAAAATTTAAATAATGGTAAACAAAGTTAAAGGGCGATGGTCATATGAAATAATATTGGTTTAGGGTAAGATTGATTTTTTAATATTAGATAAATTGAGCAGTTTATTGCACAATAAAAGTAAAAAAAATGAGGTAGTTGGTACTAGCTAGCAAAAGATAGTTTTGGTACTTGCAAAAAAGTAATTGGAATATACACTAATTGCATACACAATGTAAAGTGACTAAAAAAACAAGTAGTGATAAACAAAATTAAATGGACAGGTAAGAAAAAATGAATATTATTAATTTGGAGTAAGATTTGACTTTTAATTTAAAATTATGTTCATCAGAACAACGGCTTTTACAACATAGCTGAACCCCTGGCCAGGACGCTTCTCCATCGTTATCCTACATAACAACCAACCCAATGGAAATAAGTCACTCTTTCTGACTTTTTTGGGTTATCCCAGGTTCTCTACACATATGCTGCTATGTATGATAATTCTATGTAACTGTATTTGTGTATACCTGAATAAACTTACTGACTTACTTACCAGCCTACTTGCCCATCCCGTGCGTCCGTCTCAAATCCAACAGTCTCGGGGACACCATTGGGAATACCAGGGACCCCAATAAAAATAAGTCACTTTGTCTATCCTATGTATGATAATTTGTGGAACTGGATTTATGTTTGCCTGCACCTAAGTAAACATACTTGATACTCTGCACCTGACTCTCTACGTCACTATGTTTCCTACATATCACAGGTCCGCCAACTTTTTTGGGTATTACCCCAAAATAAACTTGTGTAGAGGGAAATTCCCCACTAGACTTGAAAGTCCACAGATTCCAGAAAACACAAGGAGCGTTCAAATTCAAAATAGTTTATTGAATCCATTTGTATGGAGAATACAGTCATACAAGCTGAAGAGTATGTATTATACGAGATAAATCAACTTTAAAAATAAAACAAAATTAACAAAATAATAAAATGAAAAATAAATAAATTTTTGTGCAGTTTTATTTATATGTTTACTGAGCGTTCATAACCCCCGAAAATTTAATTTTTACCCCATTTGGGAACATTTACCCCGATTCCCCAACCTAAGCTACATATATTCTTATGTACTCTGATCAGGTGACCTGGTCACCAAGACCCGGGCCAGGATGTCATGGTGGACCTTCCTATACCTGTCTGCTCATGTGACCTGGTCACCAAGACCCGAACCAGGATGTCCTGGTGTCCATTTTTCCATTAATCACCTGGGAATCGCTAAACCCGAAGGGGTCGTACAGCGCTTTGAGAATAGAAGGTAGTCACGTCTGATCCGAGGAAGGGGGTGATAGCTGCAGTTCCTTGGATCAGGAACCCTCCTCCAGCATCAGGACACCAACCCTGGAAGGGCGTGTGTCTTCTAGTACACAACAGTGTTAAATGTGTTAACGTAGTGTGTCACACCACTTATTAAGTTGCTCCACAACAAGTGGTGTGTCAAGTGCGACACAAAGTGGTAAGGAAACACAACTAAGTACTCTAGTATTTACTATGTGTTAATCCTATACTGACCACTTAGATGTTAATATTACACTGACCACTTAGATGTTAATTTTACATTGATCACTTAGATATTAATGTTATATCGACCACTTAGATATTAATCTTACAGTGACCACTTACATATTAATTCTAAATTGACCATTTATATTACAATCTAACACTATCCACTTAGATATTAATAATTCATGACCACTTAAATATTATATTACATTGACCACTTAGATATTACCTTACATTAACCACTTAGATACTAATCTAACAGTGACCACTTACATTGTTCACTTAGATAGTAATTTTACACCGTCCATTAAGTAGTCGATGTAAGATTACTATCTTACATTGACCACTTAGTAGTGATCTTAATTGAAGGCGTATTGAAAGTGTCACCCTTCACCCTTTCCCCCACCATTAGAATGGACAGGGTAGTCACTACATCCAGTAGTCACCCGCCATGTTAGCCTCACTTTCACTACATTACATCTACAACGACCATCATGAACTGTGACCACTAGTAAGTTCTCAGTGGAAGAAAATTACCAAGTGGTCAGTTTCAAGTCTTGGATGTCACTTCCAACACGTCTCCAGGTCCTGGATGCCACTTCTAACACGTCTTCAGGTCCTGGATGTCACTTCCAACACGCCTTCAGGTCCTGGATGTCACTTCCAACACGTCTCCTGGTCCTGGATGCCACGTCTAACACGTCTTCAGGTCCTGGATGTCACTTCCAACACGCCTTCAGGTCCTGGATGTCACTTCCAACACGTCTCCTGGTCCTGGATGCCTCTTCCAACAGGCTATCAGGTCTTGGATGTCACTTCCAACACGTCTCCAGGTCCTGGATGCCACTTCTAACACGTCTTCAGGTCCTGGATGTCACTTCCAACACGCCTTCAGGTCCTGGATGTCACTTCCAACACGTCTCCTGGTCCTGGATGCCACTTCTAACACGTCTTCAGGTCCTGGATGTCACTTCCAACACGCCTTCAGGTCCTGGATGTCACTTCCAACACGTCTCCTGGTCCTGGATGCCACTTCCAACAGGCTATCAGGTCTTGGATGTCACTTCCAACAGGCCATCAGGTCCTGGATGTCACTTCCAACACGCCATCAGGTCTTGGATGGTACTTCCAACACGTCTCCAGGTCCCGGATGCCACTTCCAACACGTCTTCAGGTCCTGGATGTCACTTCCAACAGGTCATCAGGTTCTGGATGCCACTTCCAACAGGCCATCATGTCCTGGACGTCACTTTCAACAGGCCATCAGGTCCTGGATGTCACTTCTAACACGCCATCAGGTCTTGGATGTTACTTCCAACACGTCTCCAGGTCCTGGATGCCACTTCCAACTCCTCTTCAGGTCCTGGATATCACTTCCAACACGTCTCCAGGTCATGGATGCCACTTCCAACACGTCTTCAGGTCCTGAATGTCACTTCCAGAAGGTCATCAGGTCCTGGATGTCACTTCCAACAGGTCAGAAGTTTCCTATAAAACTGAGCTGCATTTTCTGCCTCACGATACGACCCACAACATTCAACACAGGTATCGATTTTTCCTGCTAGGTGGGTGAGCAGGCCTGCTAGGTGGGTGAGCAGGCCTGCTAGGTGGGTGAGCAGGCCTGCTAGGTGGGTGAGCAGACCTTCTAGGTGGGTTAGCAGGTCTGCTAGCTAGGTAGAAGGCAAGTTAGGTGGGTGAGTAAGCCTGCTAGGTGGGTTAGCAGGCCTGCTCATGTGTCTCGTTGCTGGGTGATGAATGAGGGACATTGGGGCTGTGATGAGTATGCTCTGACCACTGAGCTACAGGTGACTCAGAATGAACAAGGGTGAGGCAGTGTGCAGAAAGCAATGTGTTGGGTTATGGAGAGTGTAGGGTGGAGGAAGTGGGTCTTTGTGAGGAGGTGGATGAAGCGGGTCTTTGGGAGGAGGTGGATGAAGTGGGTCTTTGTGAGCAGGTGGACGAAGTGGGTCTTTGTGAGGAGGTGGACGAAGTGGGTATTTGTGACGAGTTGGACGAAGTGGGTCTTTGTGAGCAGGTGGACGAAGTGGGTCTTTGTGAGGAGGTGGATGAAGCGGGTCTTTGGGAGGAGGTGGTTAAAGTGGGTCTTTGTGAGCAGGTGGACGAAGTGGGTCTTTGTGAGGAGGTGGACGAAGTGGGTATTTGTGACGAGTTGGACGAAGTGGGTCTTTGTGAGCAGGTGGACGAAGTGGGTCTTTGTGAGGAGGTGGATGAAGCGGGTCTTTGGGAGGAGGTGGATGAAGTGGGTCTTTGTGAGCAGGTGGACGAAGTGGGTCTTTGTGAGGAGGTGGACGAAGTGGGTATTTGTGACGAGTTGGACGAAGTGGGTCTTTGTGAGGAGGCTGGTCTATGTGGGGAGGTAGAAGGGGCTGGTCTATGTGGGGAGGTAAAGGGAGTTAGTCTGTGTGGGGAGACGGACGGAATGGGTCTACGTAGGGAAGGAGAGGGAGAGTATCTGGCCGGTGACGGAGAGTGTCTGAAGGGTGAGGGAGAGTATCTGGAGGGTGAGGGAGAGCGTCTGGACGGTGAGGGAGAATATCTGGAGGGTGAGGGAGAGTGTCTGGAGGGTGAGGGAGAGTGTCTGGAGGGTGAGGGAGAGTGTCTGGAGGGTGAGGGAGAGTGTAGGGTGAGTGATGGTTGAAGATGCAGGTTGTGTGATGGATGACGAAGACTCAGCGCGAAGTACAACACCCTGCAGGCAACAACACACAATATTAGTGTAACACCCTGTAGGCAACAACACTTAATATTAATACAACACCCTGCAGGCAACAACACATAATATTAGTACAACACCCTGCAGGCAACAACACATAATATTAGTACAACACCCTGCAGGCAACAACATTATCACATAAGAAACACACTAGACCCGCTGATCCATGCTTGGCACGTCATATTTAAACCCATTTAAAATGATGTATCTGACTCAAATATTGCTGAAAAAATCCTCACCATTGACGTTAAACTAAATAAACAATAGTTTGAAGCTACTCCTGCGTCCTCACCCTCTTTAAAACTGACATATAACACGGAAGAAATTTATACCCTGGATATGATTATTGTTAGTAGTAGTAGTAGTAATAGTGGTAGTAGTAGTAATAGCAATAGTAGTAATAGTAGTAGTAATAGTAGTAGTAGTAGTAGTAGTAGTAGTAGTAGTAATAGTGGTAGTAGTAGTAATAGTAGCAATAGTAATAATAGTAGTATTAGTAGTGGTAGTAGTAGCAGTAGTAGTAGTAGTGTAAGTAGTAGCAGTAGTAGTAGTAGTAGTAGGAGTAACAGTAGTAGTAGTAGTAGTAACAGTAGTAACAGTAGTAGTATAAGTAGTAGCAATATCATGAGTAATCATTAAACCCGTAAGAGTTACGCAGCACCTGGGGTAAAGGGACGTAACCAGGTTCGATGTAAGGACGGAAATGTGTGCTACAGTTCCTTGCATGTAAAGTAAAAGGACACAAGTGCAACTAACGGCTTGACAAAGCTCCTGGAGAGCGAAACGTTGCTACAGTAAAATGTCACATTAGTTGCACTTGTGTCCTTTTACTTTACATATTGTCGGAAATTCTACCAACATTATTACAGTTCCTTGCATCAAGAGCCCCTGGGCAGCGTCAAGGCAGCTCCTTGAAAGCAGATCTTACACAGATACACCAGAGATCACGGAGAGTACAACTTACCCAAATATGACAGTGGGTATGAGAACGATGAGGGCAGCCAGGAGGAGGGTGACACCGGGCATGTTAAGAGCCAGCATCTGAGGGAAGAGTGTGTGGAAGGTGGCACTGCCCGCCAGTAGTGCCACCTGCTCTATGCTACTCACCACTGTGAACACCCGACCTGCCAGGAAACACACTGTGTTATTACCAACACTAGACATACTGCGTGGCCTCGTACACCACACTGCTGCTCATGCTCATGTACAGTCTAGGGGGCCAGAGAATACAAACCTCACTCAAGGAAAAAGATCTTGGGGTGAGTATAACACCAGGCACATCTGAGGCGCACATCAACCAATAACTGCTGCAGCATACGGACGCCTAGCAAACCTAAGAACAGCATTCCGCCATCTTAATAAGGAATCGTTCAAGACCTTGTACACCGTGTACGTTAGGCCCATATTGGAGTGCGCGGCACCTGTTTGGAACCCACATCTAGCCAAGCACGTAAAGAAACTAGAGAAATTGCAAGGGTTTGCAACAAAACTAGTCCCAGAGCTAAGGGGTATGTCCTACAAGGAGAGGTTAAAGGAAATCGACCTGACGACACTGGAGGACAGGAGAGATAGGGGAGGGGGGACATGATAACGACATATAAAATACTGAGTGGAATTGACAAGGTGGACAGAGACAGAATGTTTCAGAGATGGGACACAGCAACAAGGGGACACAGTTGGAAGTTGAAGACACAGATGAATCACAGAGATGTTAGGAAGTATTTCTTCAGTCACAGAGTTGTCAGGAAGTGGAATAGTTTGGGAAGCGATGTAGTGGAGGCAGGATCCATTCATAGCTTTAAGCAGAGGTATGATAAAGCTCATGGTGCAGGGAGAGTGATCCAGTAGCGGCCAGTGAAGAGGCGGGACCAGGAGCTATGACTTTTTTTAGGTGAGTACAACTAGGTGAGTATTTCGTGCCCAGATAGACCACACTACTGCTGGTGTAGACAGTCACCTACACACACATACACTCATACACACACACACACACACACACACACACACACACACACACACACACACACACACACACACACACACACACACACACACACACACAGTAGCGACCAGTGAAGAGGCGGGGCCAGGAGCTAGGACTCGATCCCTGCAACCTCAACTAGGTGAGTACAACTAGGTGAGTACACACACACCAAATGATAAGAAAGACTCACTTCGTGCCCAGGTAGACCACACTACTGATCATGTAGACATAGTCAGCTACACAACTAAATTCCTCTGCACACAACCCGCACATAGAAAACTGCAACTTATAACGACGTTTGGGTCCGACCTGGACCATGAAGTAATCAGACACAGGCGCGAAGGGAGGGGAGCAGGTATGTATACAAGAGTGGGCGGGGGAAGGTAGGGGAGCAGGTATGTATACAATAGGGGGCGGGGGAAGGGAGGGGAGCAGGTATGTATACAAGAGGGGACGGGGGAAGGGAGGGGAGCAGGTATGTATACAGATGAATGGTTCAGAGAACCGACATGTTGATAAATTAGACACATGAGCAACTCTTGGGTATCTTTATTGAGGAAACGTTTCGCCACACAGTGGCTTCATCAGTCCATACGTAGGAGAAACTTGAAGAACAGGAGGAGAATGAGGTATTCTATTCAAGATTGATGGACTGAACACATCGACTCAAGGTTGAGGGACTGATTACCTCATTCTCCTCCTGTTCTTCAAGTTTCTCCTACGTATGGACTGATGAAGCCACTGTGTGGCGAAACGTTTCCTCAATAAAGATACCCAAGAGTTGCACATGTGTCTAATTTATCAACAGGTATGTATACAAGAGGGGACGGGGCAAGGGAGGGGAGCAGGTATGTATACAAGATGGGACGGGGAAGGGAGGGGAGCAGGTATGTATACAAGAGAAAACATTCAGTGTATGATGACTAAATTAATACATAGCATTAAAAATCTTCCTTATGAAGAAAGATTGAAGACTTAAGTTACATTCACTTGTTAGACGAAAAATGAGGGGAGACCTGATAGACGTGTATCAGTGGAAGATAGGTATTAATAAAGGGATATTAATAAGGTCTTGAGGATATCTCTCCAACATAGGAAAGTATTGGTTTGGAAATAGGGTAGTTGATGAGTGGAACAGTCTACCTAGTTGGGTTATTGAGGTTAGGACTTTGGGTATGGGTCAACAGGCCTGCTGCAGTGTTCCTCCTTTCTTATGTTCTTATGTTCTTAAGAGGTGACGGGGGAAGGGAGGGGAGCAGGTATGTATACAAGAGGGGGCGGGGGAAGGCAGGGGAGCCGGTATATATATACATGAGGGAGCTGGGGAAGGGAGAGGAGCCGGTATATATATACATGAGGGAGCTGGGGAAGGTAGACTCAAACCGCGAGAAAGTAATAATATTACAGCATGAATATAATACTGGTATACCAGAGGGGAAGGGGGGAGGAAGGGGAGCCGGTTTGTATACAAGAGGGGGTGGGGGAAGGGAGAGGAGCCGGTATATATATATAAGAGGGGGCGGGGGAAGGTAGACTCAAACCGCGAGAAGGTAATAATATTACAGCATGAATATAATACTGGTATATAATGGAAATATAAACACATATGCAGAGTTCTGTTTGTGACTTGAAAAAGTCCACTGTGTGGGCGAAACGTAGTCAATAAAGGATCACATTATACTGCATATGTGTTTATATTTCCATTGTGTCGGTATTTTATACCATTTATTTCCACTGGTATATAATACGGACAAGTTGATAAGACACATGTGCAGCAGTTAAGTATCTTTATACCGAAGTGTTTTATCTACACAGTAGACTTCTTCAGTCGAGTACAGAAGAGGGAGCAGAAACTGTAGAGATGTAAAGGCGATGTAATCTGTCCATCAGCCACGAAGACGTAGTTCTGAGGTGGTCAGTCCCCTCAGCCTGGAGAAGAGTTCTGCTCCATAGTCTGTTGCTTCACCTTCACATTGTTTCAGACTATGGAGAAGACCTTTTCTCCATAGTCTCTCCACCTTCAAGATTGGCACACTTATGCAACATATGGGAATCTTTATTAAGGAAACGGTTCACCACACAGTGGCTTCATCAGTCCAATACAAAGTAGAAATGGGCAAGGAGAGGAGGAGTTTGAGGTAATCAGTCCCTCAGCCTGGAGTCGATGTGTTGTAATGAAGACAGTATACCACGAGTATAACTGGTGAAGACAGTATACCACGAGTATAACTGGTGAAGACATTATACCACGAGTATAACTGGTGAAGACATTATACCACGAGTATAACTGGTGAAGACATTATACCACGAGTATAACTGGTGAAGACATTATACCACGAGTATAACTGGTGAAGATAGTATACCACGAGTATAAATGGTGAAGACAGTATACCACGAGTATAAATGGTGAAGACAGTATACCACGAGTATAACTGGTGAAGACATTATACCACAAGTATAACTGGTGAAGACAGTATACCACGAGTATAAATGGTGAAGACAGTATACCACGAGTATAACTGGTGAAGACAGTATACCACGAGTATAAATGGTGAAGACAGTATACCACGAGTATAACTGGTGAAGACATTATACCACGAGTATAAATGGTGAAGACAGTATACCACGAGTATAACTGGTGAAGACAGTATACCACGAGTATAACTGGTGAAGACAAAACCACGAGTATAACTGGTGAAGACAGTATACCACGAGTATAACTGGTGAAGACAATACCACGAGTATAACTGGTGAAGACAGTATACCACGAGTATAACTGGTGAAGACAATACCACGAGTATAACTGGTGAAGACAATACCACGAGCATAACTGGTGAAGATAGTATACCACGAGTATAACTTTTGAAGACAGTATACCACGAGTATAACTGGTGAAGACAGTATACCACGAGTATAACTGGTGAAGACAGTATACCACGAGTATAACTGGCGAAGACAGTATACCACGAGTATAACTGGTGAAGACAGTATACCACGAGTATAACTGGTGAAGACAGTATACCACGAGTATAACTGGTGAAGACAGTATACCACGAGTATAACTTGTGAAGACAGTATACCACGAGTATAACTGGTGAAGACAGTATACCACGAGTATAACTGGTGAAGACAGTATACCACGAGTATAACTGGTGAAGACAGTATACCACGAGTATAACTGGTGAAGACAGTATACCACGAGTATAACTGGTGAAGACAGTATACCACGAGTATAACTGGTGAAGACAGTATACCACGAGTATAACTGGTGAAGACAGTATACCACGAGTATAACTGGTGAAGACAGTATACCACGAGTATAACTGGTGAAGACAGTATATCACGAGTATAACTGGTGAAGACAGTATACCACGAGTATAACTGGTGAAGACAGTATACCACGAGTATAACTGGTGAAGACAGTATACCACGAGTATAACTGGTGAAGACAGTATATCACGAGTATAACTGGTGAAGACAGTATACCACGAGTATAACTGGTGAAGACAGTATACCACGAGTATAACTGGTGAAGACAGTATATCACGAGTATAACTGGTGAAGACAGTATACCACGAGTATAACTGGTGAAGACAGTATACCACGAGTATAACTGGTGAAGACAGTATACCACGAGTATAATGGTGAAGACAGTATACGACGAGTATAACTGGTGAAGACAGTATACCACGAGTATAACTGGTGAAGACAGTATACCACGAGTATAACTGGTGAAGATAGTATACCACGAGTATAACTGGTGAAGACAGTATACCACGAGTATAACTGGTGAAGACAGTATACCACGAGTATAACTGGTGAAGACAGTATACGACGAGTATAACTGGTGAAGACAGTATACCACGAGTATAACTGGTGAAGACAGTATACCACGAGTATAACTGGTGAAGATAGTATACCACGAGTATAACTGGTGAAGACAGTATACCACGAGTATAACTAGTGAAGATAGTATACCACGAGTATAACTGGTGAAGACAGTATACCACGAGTATAACTGGTTTTTATTGCGACTTCCTGGATACTCAGATTAGTAACAGACAAATACAGTATGACTGTCGCTGTGATGTTAGGAAGTACTCACTCACACAAGCACTCAATCACTTACTCACGCACTCACTGTCGCACTCACCTTGCTCGTCACGCTTCAGGAGACTGGACATGATACTTCTCTCAGCTACCACCAGGTACTTAGCGAAGCCTCCCAACACCGCCACTGTGGGCAAACACATGTAATACTACAGTGACAGGTAGCTATTTGTCTAGCTACAATTAGCAGTCAATAAAATACTTAAGTCTTCTGGTGACACACACACATATACAGTGAAGAGGCGGGGCAAGGAGCTGAGTCGACCCCTGCAACCATAATTAGGTGAGTACACACACACCCCAAAGTGTACTGATCACAAACTTCAAACCCAGGTGTTTGGGCTACTAAACTGCATCATTGATCTTGTCTCGGTGCATTAAATTATCCGACCATTACTCTAGTCTGTCTCTCGCCTGATCTACACAACGCCGTAAGTTGCCGGTGTGTTTGTGACGCAGGATGTTGTGTTAGTGTTGCTGTGTTGATGATCTCTCATGAACCTCATACTCTCTAGATGCTGTGTTGATGATCTCTCATGAACCTCATATTCTCCAGATGCTGTGTTGATGATCTTTCATGAACCTTATATTCTTCAGATGCTGTGCTGATCTCTCAGGAACCTCATACTATCCAGATGCTGTGTTGATGATCTCTCATGAAGTTCATATTCTCCAGATGTGCCACTAATCTCATCATTATTTCCTCCTACAGTGTGGATGGTGTGTTTGTCAAGTATTAATGTTACGTAGTAACACCTCTTCTCTCTCTCTCTCTCTCTCTCTCTCTCTCTCTCTCTCTCTCTCTCTCTCTCTCTCTCTCTCTCTCCTCTCTCTCTCTCTCTCTCTCTCTTTCTCTCTCTCTCTCTTCTCTCTCTCTCTCTCTCTCTCTCTCTCTCTCTCTCTATCTATCTATCTATCTATCTATCTATCTCTCTCTTATGAACTGAACGGACTGCAATAATTGCATCCTAGGTGCATGTACGTATTCTTAATGTTGGTACAGAGATAAAATGCAGCCTCAATAACCCATGTATATTCCATATACTTTAAAACTAACAAACATAACTGAAAGAAATACACTAGTAATGTATAATACACAAATAACCCGCACATAGGAGAGAGAAGTTTATAACGACGTTTCGGTCTGACAGACCATTTATACGTCACACTAACACAAGAAGGTGAATGAGTCAGTATATCTAGGCGAGGGGGGGGGGGTTAGGGACAGGACAAAGAGAGGAAGAAAGAAGGAAGTAGAGAAGTAATGGAAGAGGTAATGCTGGTAGTGGAAGAAGTAGTAGTGGTAGTAGAAAGTAGGGGGAGTAGTTTCAGTGGCACAAGAGCCAGAAAAGTGCGACAACAGTAGTGGTAGTAGTAAACCATGAGATAAAAATTACACTACTGTGAAAGGTTGGTGGTCGGTGTTAAATATTTAAAGGCAATTATCATCAGGAGTTTTTAGAACCCTAATTAACTGTAATGAAAGAGTTGTTAGTGTATTAAAACATACTGTAGCAGACAGTGCCGCAGTGTACTTATTATAATGTAGCTGACGGTGGAAGAGGTAAGAAGCAAGATCGGTGTAGAGAGAGCCAAGAGCTCTACCACACACACACACACACACACACCGGTGAATGTATTAACAACTAACCGAGGTAGACAAGGCTGGGGGTGGAGAAGGAGCCCAGGATGAGTAAGGAGACGCAGCGGCTGACGCCGCCTACAACGCCCAGCGATGTGTCGTGAAGACCAGGGAAGCGACGCAGCAGTGGCAACAGCAGCAACAGTGACACACTCATCATGCTGCCGTGGAACATGTAGTAGGCGATGTAGGTACCAGTACCTACCTTCAGCTTGGTCTTCAGGTACAAGTATATAGTGTCCCCCTCAACTGCCGCACCACAACACACGCCGTCACATAATATAGGTATTATTAGATAGCGCTGCATCAGCTGCTGTCAACTACCACAACAGTGACCAGCCGCTACTTGGCAACACAAAACTTACATTAACATTAAACTTAATCTTCGTTTTAATCACTAATAAAGTAACATATGGATGTTGAAAATGGTATAAAATACCAACGAGTTGATGAGCAAGACGCATGTGCAACAGTTGAGGATCTTTATTGTTGCAACGTGTTGCCTAGACGGTAGTCTTCGTCAGTCAAACACAGATATCGTTCCAGATCATGGAGCTGAATTGAAGACATGGAGCTGAGCTAAAGACATGGAGCTGAGCTAAAGACATGGAGCTGAGCTAAAGACATGGAGCTGAGCTAAAGACATGGAGCTGAGCTAAAGACATGGAGCTGAGCTAAAGACATGGAGCTGAACCAAAGACATGGAGCTGAGCTAAAGACATGGAGCTGAAGTAAAGAATAAAAAGGCATAATACCATAATTGGAACAAAACACAAATAACCCACACATAGGAGAAAGGAGCTTACGACGACGTTTCGATCCGACTTGGACCATTTACAAAGTCACACTAACACAAAACATAGTTGGTAATGTTTGTCAAGAAACAGGACAAGTGTTCCCTGACGCGGGTCTTAGTCTAATGATGACCCGCAGCTGGAGCTTTTGGTCAACTGACCGAGGCCTTCCACTAACACAAAAGGGTGAGAGAACCAGAAGACATAGGCGATGAGGACATGGACAGGACCAAGAGAGGAAGAAAAAGAAGTAAGGGTGGTAGTGGAAGTGGAAGCAGAAGTAGCAGTGGCTCTAAAAAGTAGGGAGGGACTGACCACCTCAGACTATATCTACACGGTTTATGGACTGATATCATCCTTACCTCGCCACTACTTTTACTGTCTACAGTACATCTTCCTCTGTATTTGACGGATGAAGCCTACCGCGTGGGCGAAACGTTTCAACAATAAAGATATCCAACTGCTGCACATGTTTCTTAATTATCAAAGTAATACAGAAAAATATTTTAGTCTTAAACAGAAAATTAGTAAATAAAATACAATTATGATTATAAATTGACTGTTGAAGTGGATAAAACATGTTATAACTGACTGTTGAAGTGGATAAAACACGTTATAACTGACTGTTGAAGTGGATAAAACACGTTATAACTGACTGTTGAAGTGGATAAAACACGTTATAACTGACTGTTGAAGTGGATAAAACACGTTATAATTGACTGTTGAAGTGGATAAAACACGTTATAACTGACTGTTGAAGTGGATAAAACACGTTTATAGTGAGTGGATAAAACACGTACTACTGTTGAAGTGGATAAAAACACGTTATAACATGACTGTTGAAGTGGATAAACACGTTATAACTGACTGTTGAAGTGGATAAAACACGTTATAACTGACTGTTGAAGTGGATAAAACATGTTATAACTGACTGTTGAAGTGGATAAAACATGTTATAACTGACTGTTGAAGTGGATAAAACACGTTATAACTGACTGTTGAAGTGGATTAAACATGTTGTAATTGACTGTTGAAGTGGATAAAACACGTTATAACTGACTGTTGAAGTGGATAAAACATGTTGTAATTGACTGTTGAAGTGGATAAAACACGTTATAACTGACTGTTGAAGTGGATAAAACACGTTATAACTGACTGTTGAAGTGGATAAAACATGTTATAACTGACTGTTGAAGTGGATAAAACATGTTATAACTGACTGTTGAAGTGGATAAAACACGTTATAACTGACTGTTGAAGTGGATAAAACATGTTGTAATTGACTGTTGAAGTGGATAAAACACGTTATAACTGACTGTTGAAGTGGATAAAACATGTTGTAATTGACTGTTGAAGTGGATAAAACACGTTATAACTGACTGTTGAAGTGGATAAAACACGTTATAATTGACTGTTGAAGTGGATAAAACACGTTATAACTGACTGTTGAAAAAGCTGGATTAAAACACGTTATAACTGACTGTTGAAGTGGATAAAAACAACTGACTATAACTGACTGTTGAAGTGGATTAAAACACGTTATAACTGACTGTTTGAAGTGGATAAAACATGTTGTAATTGACTGTTGAAGTGGATAAAACACGTTATAACTGACTGTTGAAGTGGATAAAACACGTTATAATTGACTGTTGAAGTGGATAAAACACGTTATAACTGACTGTTGAAGTGGATAAAACACGTTATAACTGACTGTTGAAGTGGATAAAACACGTTATACTTTAATAATTACATTTGATCAATGTGTTGAAGCAGAATGAGCAAAAAAACAATTATATCCCAGAGAAGAGGGAATTAGACTTGAGTAGACTGAAGAAAACAGTCTTAGGAAGCCAGCCAGATTATCAGTGACTTCTCTACACTTGATATCAGACAGAGGATATAACCTCCACATTTCCTTCCACTAAACAGTCCACGTGGGTTTAGCATTTATTGTAAATATGCCAATAAGTGAACAACAATAAAGGAGTAAAGTTTTTTTTTTTTCAACAAGTCGGTCGTCTCCCACCGAGGCAGGGTGACCCAAAAAAGAAAGAAAATCCCCAAAAAGAAAATACTTTCATCATCATTCAACACTTTCACCACACTCACACATTATCACTGTTTTTGCAGAGGTGCTCAGAATACAACAGTTTAGAAGCATATACATATAAAGATACACAACATATCCCTCCAAACTGCCAATATCCCAAACCCCTCCTTTAAAGTGCAGGCATTGTACTTCCCATTTCCAGGACTCAAGTCCGACTATATGAAAATAACCGGTTTCCCTGAATCCCTTCACTAAATATTACCCTGCTCACACTCCAACAGATCGTCAGGTCCCAAGTACCATTCGTCTCCATTCACTCCTATCTAACACGCTCACGCACGCTTCCTGGAAGTCCAAGCCCCTTGCCCACAAAACCTCCTTTACCCCTCTCTCCAACCCTTTCGAAGACGACCCCTACCCCGCCTTCCTTCCCCTATAGATTTATATGCTTTCCATGTCATTCTACTTTGATCCATTCTCTCTAAATGACCAAACCACCTCAACAACCCCTCTCTGCCCTCTGACTAATACTTTTATTAACTCCACACCTTTTCCTAATTTCCACACTCCGAATTTTCTGCATAATATTTACACCACACATTGCCCTTAAACAGGACATCTCCACTGCCTCCAACCGTCTCCTCGCTGCTGCATTTACCACCCAAGCTTCACACCCATATAAGAGTGTTGGTACTACTATACTTTCATACATTCCCTTCTTTGCCTCCATAGATAACGTTTTTTGACTCCACATATATCTCAACGCACCACTCACCTTTTTTCCCTCATCAATTCTATGATTAACCTCATCCTTCATAAATCCATCCGCCGACACGTCAACTCCCAAGTATCTGAAAACATTCACTTCTTCCATACTCCTCCTCCCCAATTTGATATCCAATTTTTCTTTATCTAAATCATTTGACACCCTCATCACCTTACTCTTTTCTATGTTCACTTTCAACTTTCTACCTTTACACACATTCCCAAACTCATCCACTAACCTTTGCAATTTTTCTTTAGAATCTCCCATAAGCACAGTGTCATCAGCAAAAAGTAACTGTGTCAATTCCCATTTTGAATTTGATTCCCCAAAATTTAATCCCACCCCTCTCCCGAACTTCCTTTACAACCCCATCTATAAATATATTAAACAACCATGGTGACATTACACATCCCTGTCTAAGACCTACTTTTACCGGGAAGTAGTCTCCCTCTCTTCTACACACCCTAACCTGAGCCTCACTATCCTCATAAAAACTCTTTACAACATTTAATAACTTACCACCTATTCCATATACTTGCAACATCTGCCACATTGCTCCTCTATCCACTCTATCATATGCCTTTTCTAAATCCATAAATGCAATAAAAACTTTCCTACCTTTATCTAAATACTGTTCACATATATGCTTCAATGTAAACACTTGATCTACACATCCCCTACCCACTCTGAAACCTCCTTGCTCATCCGCAATCCTACATTCTGTCTTACCTCTAATTCTTTCAATTATAACCCTACCGTACACTTTTCCTGGTATACTCAGTAAACTTATTCCTCTATAATTTTTAGTCTCTTTTGTCCCCTTTCCCTTTATATAAAGGGACTATACATGCTCTCCGCCAATCCCTAGGTACCTTCCCCTCTTTCATACATTTATTAAACAGAAGTACCAACCACTCCAACACTATATCCCCCCTGTTTTTAACATTTCTGTCATGATCCCATCAGTTCCAGCTGCTTTACCCCCTTTCATTTTACGTAATGCCTCACGTACCTCCCCCACACTTACATTCTGCTCTTCTTCACTCCTAAAAGATGGTATACCTCCCTGACCAGTGCATGAAATTACTGCCTCTGTTTCTTCCTTAACATTTAGAAGTTCCTCAAAATATTCTCGCCTTCTACCTAATACCTCCCTCTCCCCATCTACTAACTCCCCTACTCTGTTTTTAACTGACAAATCCATACTTTCCCTAGGCTTTCTTAACTTGTTTAACTCACTCCAAAATTTTTTCTTATTTTCATTAAAATTTCTTGACAGTGCCTCTCCCACTCTATCATCTGCTCTCCTTTTGCACTCTCTCACCACTCTCTTTACCTTTCTTTTACTCTCCATATACTCTGCTCTTCTTATAACACTTCTGCTTTGTAAAAACCTCTCATAAGCTACCTTTTTCTCTTTTATCACACCCTTTACTTCATCATTCCACCAATCACTCCTCTTTCCTCCTGCCCCCACCCTCCTATAACCACAAACTTCTGCCCCACATTCTAATACTGCATTTTTAAAACTATTCCAACCCTCTTCAACCCCCCCACTACTCATCTTTGGACTAGCCCACCTTTCTGCCAATAGTCGCTTATATCTCACCCGAACTTCCTCCTCCCTTAGTTAAGTATTTTTGTTTATTTAGTAGACAATAAGTAAAGTTGTAAGTCGATGTGCTGATCTTGCCCTCTCTAGCAACGTGTTACAACATACTGATCAGTGGAAGAATCCAGAGTTGGTCTTTACAAGGGAATTAAAGACATGGTCAGACTATGACCCTTTTTTTATTCCATTAACCCCTAGAGATATTAACTACGGTATATTATGTCACTACAAGACCAGGTATTACCTGACTGAGCTGAGGCGTGCTCACCTGAGGAGACAAAACTAATGAAGAAGGCGGCGACGAGGTCAGCCACAACGATGGCTCGTAGTCCCTGAGGTCGTCTCCGGAACGTGGCTAACATGGGGTGGTCACTGCCTCCTCCGTCCGCGTCTCCCACACTCTGGCGCACCTCGCGCTGCTCGCGTGCCTCGCTACAGGCTCGACGACGAGATGAGAGACAACTATTGGAGCGACGTGTCGTGTGAGGGAATGTGGCACCTGCCCTCTGAGACCCGCCAGGAGCAGAGTTGTCGCTTCCTAAGTGCTGAATGTTGGTGTTATACTCACCGCCATGGCGTGCTGTTGCTGCTGCTGCTGTTGTTTCTCTTCTGTGTATTGCAGCTGATCGCTGCTGCTGCTGCCTCTCACAGCTGCTCCTCCATGCACTATCATTGGGCGTGCACTGCCCACACTCACTGCCAAGAGACTTTTCACTACCTTGATCAGACATGAAAGAGTTCACTGAATTGGCAGGAGTTAGAGGAGTCTGTAGGAGGGGAGGTGTCAGGTCCAGGACGTCAACTGGTGTCGAAGGTGTCAGTAGGAAAGTCGGAATCATTTGTATGTCGTCCTCGTATGTCATGGGCAGGTGGTCACCTGCTGTCATGGGCAGATGGTCACCTGCTGTCATGGGCAGATGGTCAGGACTGGTGCTGACACGTAAGGGAGTTATCGGGCGAAAGTCGTCTACCTCGTCTACCCCCAGTGTGTCAATGCTTGAGTCTGTCGTGGTGAGTTGTTTGTCTTTAAGAGTGTGTTGGTGGTACATTTCACTATGTAATACAAAGAATGTGTCATCCAATGGAATGTCAACTGTGTCACCCACTGGAATGTCAACTGTGTCAACCACTGGAATGTCAACTGTGTCACCCGCTGGAATGTCAACTGTGTCAACCACTGGAATGTCAACTGTGTCACCCACTGGAATGTCAACTGTGTCACCCACTGGAATGTCAACTGTGTCAACCACCGGAATGTCAACTGTGTCATCCACTGGAATGTCAACTGTGTCAACCACTGGAATGTCAACTGTGTCATCCACTGGAATGTCAACTGTGTCATCCACTGGAATGTCAACTGTGTCATCCACTGGGTTGTCAACTGTGTCATCCACTGGAATGTAAACTGCGTCATCCACTGGGTTGTCAACTGTGTCATCCACTGGAATGTCAACTGTGTCATCCATTGGAATGTCAACTGTGTCATCCACTGGAATTCCAACTGCGTCATCCACTGGGTTGTCAACTGTGTCATCTACTAGAATGTCAACTGTGTCATCCATTGGAATGTCATCTGTGTCATCCACTGGAATTCCAACTGCGTCATCAACTGAAATGTCAACTGCATCATCCACTGGAATGTAAACTGTGTCATCCTCTGGGATGTCAACTACGTCATCCACTGGGTTGTCAACTGTGTCATCCACTGAAATGTCAACTGCGTCATCCACTGGAATGTAAACTGTGCCATCCACTGGAATGTCAACTGCGTCATCCACTGGGATGTCAACTACGACAGCCACCAGAGTATCAACTGCGTCGTCTACTGGGATGTCAACCGCAACAGCCACTGGAATGTCAACTGTGTCATCCACTCCAGTGTCAACTGTGTCATCCACTTCAATGTCAACTGTGTCATCCACTCCAATGTCAACTGTGCCATCATCTCCAGTGTCAACTGTGTCATCCACTCCAATGTCAACTGTGTCATCCACTCCAATGTCAACTGTGTCATCATCTCCAGTGTCAACTGTGTCATCTACTCCAATGTCAACTGTGTCATCCACTCCAATGTCAACTGTGTCATCATCTCCAGTGTCAACTGTGTCATCTACTCCAATGTCAACTGTGTCATCCACTGGAATGTCAACTGCGTCATCCACTGGGATGTCAACTACGACAGCCACCGGAGTATCAACTGCGTCATCTACTGGGATGTCAACCGCAACAGCCACTGGAATGTCAACTGTGTCATCCACTGGGATGTCAACTGTGTCATCCACTGGGATGTCAACCGTGTCATAACCATCTTCAGTGATGTTATTTACTATGTCACTTGTAGGACTGCCACTCAAACGTGTGTCGCTTATCTTGGTGTCACTTGTATGTGTGTCACTTGTATGAGTGTCACTTGTATGTGTGACACTTGCACACTCTTCACTTAAAGATGTGACACCAGTACACCCACCGTCGTTTTCTGTGTCGTTCTGACACGCAGCACCTTCATGCGTGTTTTTAGATGTGTCAGAGGGATCCATGACACTTATCTGCGTGTCATTCCAAGGTGCTGCCTGCGTGTCAGCAAGGTGTGTATCATGCTCGCTGACGACCTCCGGGGTGCCATACACACTGACGACCTCCGGGGTGTCATGTATACTGACGACCTCCGGGGTGCCATATACACTGACGACCTCCGGGGTGCCATACACACTGACGACCTCCGGGGTGTCATGTATACTGACGACCTCCGGGGTGCATTGTACACTGACGACCGCCGGGGTGCCATGTACAGTGACAACCTCCGGGGTGTCATGTATACTGACGACCTCCGGGGTGGAGTAATTACTCGACGCGTCACCAGGTGTGACGATGACTGGATATCTCGCGGTTATAAAGTCGTCGTTAAAAGCGGAGGTCATACAGCTGCTAGCTTCAACATGACTCTCTTCGCCGTTGTAGTCAAAATCAAGGGTCGTGTAGCTACTAGCCTCAGCAGGACGACCTTCTTGGTAATCGTCGAGGGTGTCGTTATCATATGTGAAGGTAGTGTAACTACTAGCCTTAGCGGGAGGGTCCTCTAGGGTGTCGTTGAGGTTGCCACTGACACATGGGAGGGCCGTGTAACTACTAGCCTCAGCGGAACGACCCACAGCGTCATTGTCGTGGTTGTCGTTATCACAAACTAGGGTCATGTCACTACTAGCCTCAACGGAACGACCCTCAAGGTCATCGTCGTGGTTGCCGGTATTACAAACGAAGATCGTGTAACTATTAGCCTCAGCGGAACGACCCACAGCGTCATTGTCGGCTGCGCATCACAAACAAGGGTCGTGTCACTACTAGCCTCAGCGGAACGACCCACAGCGTCATTGTCGTGGCTGCCGCTATCACAAACAAGGGTCGTGTCACTACTAGCCTCAGCGGAACGACCCACAGCGTCATTGTCGTGGCTGCCGCTATCACAAACAAGGGTCGTGTCACTACTAGCCTCAGCGGAACGACCCACAGCGTCATTGTCGTGGCTGCCGCTATCACAAACAAGGGTCGTGTCACTACTAGCCTCAGCGGAACGACCCACAGCGTCATCGTCGTGGCTGTCGTTATCACAAACTAGGGTCATGTCACTACTAGCCTCAACGGAACGACCCACAGCGTCATTGTCGTGTTTGTCGTTATCACAAACTAGGGTCATGTCACTACTAGCCTCAACGGAACGACCCTCAAGGTCATCGTCGTGGTTGCCGGTATTACAAACGAGGGTCGTGTGACTACTAGCCTCAGCAGAACGACCCTCAACGTCATCGTCGTGGTAGTGGTTATCACAAGCGAGGGTCGTGTAACTCTTAGAATCAACCGGACGACTCTCGTGGTCATCACCATCGCTGCACGACAGGCCGGGAATGACTACGTGGTCGTCCGGCTCTTTACGACCTGTCATAGTGTCGTGCACGGGTTCCGTGACGACTAAGGCTGAATGAGGCAGATGGAGGTCGTCTGGCAGGACGAAGATGATGTACAACAAGTTGCCAACACAAACCACCTCATTAACTGCCCAAGGACAGGAAGGAAAAACACCCGTCAAAAACTCCATTAATTAAAACAACCAGCCATATTATGAACCACGGAACGGGTGGGGGTTGAACTCATGGCCAGCGAGTCGCAAAACTTACTCGCCATAGGTTCAAACCAACCCGTAAGTACACAGTTACTGTTAAGTGGCTCGTGAGTTTCCCTGTTTCCTAATATCGTATTTATTTTATCTCTATAATCTATCTTGTCCATAATTACTATCGCATTTGCTTTGTCTGCTTTCGTAAGGTGAAGTCCAGGATCTATCCTTAATTCATGGTATAACTTAACAAATCTATGATGACAATTATGTTGCAGAGGTTCTGACCTTTGCTCACACCTCTGCAACACAATTGTCCTCAAAGATTTGTTAAGTTATACCATAAATTAAGGAAAGGTCCTGGACTTCACCTTATGAAAGTAACAAAGCAAATGCAATAGTAATTATGGACAAGGTAGATTATAGGGGGAAAATAACATATTAGAAAACAGGGGTACTGACGTGCCTAACCATATAAGAGTCGTCACTGTGTAACATAAAAAATATACTACTCCCTTACGACCCACCCTGCAAGGTAGTGCTGAAGTGAAGGGAACATTTATCACATTATAAATTTAATTAATATACCCAACACGTGCAAACATTAACACAAAAACATGGCAGTCTAGCTGCTAATATTGGACACATTCCACAAGCTTTTCATAAAGAAATTCACCAGTCTAGGCCCTATTTTTTTCAGTTCCAACATAGGTGAATTTGTTTATTAAAATCATCTGGATTATATTCACTTGTAGTAGCTAGGCTGTCATGTTTTTATATCCAGATGTTGTTTACATTTTAAATTTTTTAGTTATTTGCATAGGCAGCGGTAGAAAAAAAAAACATTATTTTAAGCTAGGCTGTTGTATGTAGATGAAGAGTTAATGGGCGAGGCTGATGTAATTATGAGAACTTAATGTGTTCAAGTGAAGGATGAGCAAGCTTAGTCGGTGAGCGGAACTAAATCACAGGGAAAAAGTCACAGAAAAAAGGCGCAGTAAAACTTGCAGTAAAAAAATCACAGTAAAAAAGTTAAAGTAAAGAAATCACTGTAAAAGAAGTTACAGTATTTTATACCATTTTAATATTCATTTCCAGTTTCTATTTATTGCCATCCCTTTTATGGTCTTAACAACAACAACAAAAAACATCTCAGTAAGGCCTATTGGCCCATGCTAAGTATAGGCCAATAGGCCCACAAGAGAGGTTAAACTGTCGGTTCCCTGAACTATTCATCTACATAAACTGGTGTAATAACATAAGCAGTTGTTGGAGTCTGACCGAGAAAGAGGAGTGCATGATTGGTGTCATTCAGCTTTGTGAGGATGTAGACAGCAATGGTGGCAGTGAGTGTAGCCAGGGTGATACACGCCTCCACGATGCTCAGTCGCACAGTCCTTTGTTCAGGCATCGTCTCGCACGTCACATATGCGATCACTGCACTCTGATGAAGACACTTGTGGTTATTATTAATTAACCTGGTAAATTTCTTAACACTAGGACCATGGTACTTTTACTGGGGTCCCATGAAACGCCATAAAATACGTACCATTATAAAATCCTCTTTAATCTTGTACACTACCACTGAAAACTTACCCTACCTCTCCTGTCGTTGCCATCAACATTGCACAGCTTCTGATGACGCACTGGGAAGTGTGACAGTACTTTAGCTAAAGATTTTCACCCCCCGTGGCTTGTCTTGCATTGTTAAGATCGCCTGTCTACGATTGTCTTCATATATATTATATAATATATATATATAATTTATTATTTAATACGTGTGTTAGCGTGTTAATAGTAGATTTATTTTAATAACAATAACAGAAATCAGTCGTATGAATTTAACTTATTATAACTAATCCCCACACAGTCGATAACAATACTATTCTGTAGTAATAAAATTAGAAATGTAAATGTTCACGCTCGGCCTCGTGTGTGAAGCGGGTTTAAACGAATTGTGGGGGATAAGTAGGTTTAAGGCTCTGACTTGCTGTTGGAGTGTAAGGCAAAATTTATGAAGAGGTTCAAAGAGTCTGGTTAGCCGGATGTGAGTCCTAGAGGTGAGAATTACAGAGAAGGAGACTTGGAGATGTTGTAGTGATGTCAACACATTTCTGACAAGACAGCTGTTAAATACAGTATAATGGTGATTTTTTTGGTGTGAGGTCACCCTTCCTTTATGGAAGATGGCTGCGTGCTTAAAAAAAGTATATGTACTGATCATTGGTGCGATGGAGTCGCCCACACAGACACCAAAACATTTTAATATACTGTAGCATCACAACGGGTGGGGATCGAACCCGTAGCAGACGAGTCCTAAGACTCCTGGGTTGTGTGCTAACCGCTGGACCAGCCGACTTTCATAGGATTTATCCAACTACGTATTTTTCTATATACCAGCTGGTCCAGTGGTTAGCACACTAGCCTGAGTTTTAGGACTTGTCTGCCACGGGTTAAATTCCCAACAGTTCTGTGATTTGTTTGCAAAAGTGTTAAGATTTCGTAAGTTATGATAAGTACTGTATAAATAAACTTGACGGTGAGGCGCTCTCACCAGACAATATAAAGAAACAACTTGTAAACCAAAGCCCAGTTTATTTTGTGGCACATTCGTAGTGATATAGAATAATTTCACATTACGTAGACTTATTTGTTATAACCGTATTTCTGAAAAAAAAACGAATCATTTTACCAGACCCGCGTTCATGTTTTTCTTTCCATTTATAGCAGTGGGTTACAGAAAGTCCAGTCAGCTATGCATCTTAATGGTATACAATACCAACAAGTATAGGAATAAGATATATGCAACAGGTGAGTATCTTTATTGCCGAAATGTTTCGCCTGTGCAGCAGGTTTCTTCGGTTGAATGGAGAAATGACTAATATGCTGGAGACTAGCAGTGGATAATTTGAGGTGTTCAGTCCTTCAGCCTTGATAAAAGTAAGAGATGATTTAAGGTGTTCTGCCTCTCAGCCCTGATAGAGATAGAGCAGTAATTTTGAGGTGTTCAATCCCTCAGTCTTGGTAGAAATTGCTCGGTTTCATAATGATTATATGTTCGATATCAGATCTTATGAAGGCATTTTTTTCTACAGTGCACATCCAATTCCTGGACAAAAGTAATACAATTGGATACACTGTCAGTGTATCCAGTTGTATTAACTTTAATTTCTTGTGTGTCTCGTGTTACGTTCATACAATGTGTGTAGGGTGCATAATATACTAGTTGCTACCATACACAAAATGCATGTAGGGTGTACAGTATTCTAGAAGCTGCTAACATTTGTACACTGTACGTGAGAGCAAATTAGTTCAAAAAAATCACAGCGTTAAGAAAACGTTGAATTTAGAGAATAACTACAATATCACAGTGACTGTGGTGAACAACTACTCAATGTTGACTGTGGATAGACACATCATCACAGTTGACTGTGGTAAACAGCTATATCACGGTTGACACTGTGTAGAAACATATATCCAGTTGTATGGGTAAACAACATACATCACTGTTGCTGTGGTAGAACACATACATCACAGTGACTGTAGGGTGACATAATATCACTAGTTGACTGTGGTAGAACACAATACATCACAGTTGACTGTGGTGAACAACTATTCACAGCTGACTGGGTAGAACAACATACATCACGTTGACTGTGTAAGACAACATACATCAAGTGACTGGGTAAACAACAACATCACAGTGACTGTGTAGAAAACATACATCAGCTGACTGTTAGAAAACAACATACATCACAGTTGACTGTGGTAGAACAGCATACATCACAGTTGACTGTGGTAGAACAACATAATCACAGTGACTGTGGTAGAACAACATACATCACAGTTGACTGTGGTAGAACAACATACATCACAGCTGACTGTGGTAGAACAACATACATCACAGCTGACTGTGGTAGAACAACATACATCACAGTTGACTGTGGTAGAACAACATACATCACAGTTGACTGTGGTAGAACAACATACATCACAGCTGACTGTGGTAGAACAACATACATCACAGTTGACTGTGGTAGAACAACATACATCACAGTTGACTGTGGTAGAACATACATCACAGCTGACTGTGGTAGAACAACATACATCACAGTTGACTGTGGTAAAACATACATCACAGCTGACTGAGGTCAAACATAATATGACCTTTATTATATAACTTTAAAAATCACTGTTACTGTTACTAATTATGTGCTTTAATCTTAAGAGTAAAGATTGTGGAATTTTTTTTTTTACATAATTTCCTAAATGTAGAACATATAAATGAATAATATAATAAATGTGTATTAAAATGTGATGCTATTTGGACCCTTCGAGAAATTTCGAGTGAGGAGGTGTAGAAAAGCTGCGGAGTGACGCCGGGGAGAGACGCCATACTGAAATGTGTGAACATTGGACTGAATTGTGCAATGTAATCAGGCGTTCCCGAAGGTCAACTGTTTTTTTTCGGCCTGAATTTGTAATTAGGAACTTGTGTTACTGTCCCCTGTTGAAGAATTGGGACAGGAAATCTGCGGGACCTCGAGAATTACGTGTGGATGGTAGGAAGGATACGAACATTACTCACAGGGAAGTGCACCATTAGCCCTTGTATTTAAATCTCTAGCTGGCCAGTATGGGGTTTACGTGTTAGGCAGGTGTTGTGGTGTGTTCCGTCTACAGTAATTAAATGGCAAGTGGTAATACCAATTTCTTTTGTGTACCCAGCAAGCCTAATCATATACAGTCCACAACTTTAATTTACCAGAGTATCTGATTTTAGTATTGTAATTATTAATTTAATGTCAGGTCTAGCTGTTTGTGAGAGTGGTGAAGAAGTGGGCATCAAAGGAGTTACAGTTCAGCGACCTGCTGATTTAAGTCCCACCCAAATTACTTGCAGGTAATAATTCAGGTAAGGCCCTGAAAGCCTCCTGCAGGTGATTTGCTCACATTATAATAATAATAATAATAATAATAATAATAATAATAATAATAATAATAATAATAATAATAATAATAATAATAATTCACAATGATGTCTGTAATAGCATTGATGATTGAAGAGAGTACTGATAACAAGTATATAAACGAACATAACGAGCCTAATAGAAAGTCATCATTGCTAATCTTATTGGCATAAACTATTATAATTTATATTGGGTAACCCTAGGCTAGGCTAGTCAACGTAATATATATGCCCATAACAACTGTGTTCCCTCAAGACCATTGCCAAAATTTGAATATGTGTGAAACCTAAATAAAAAACAAACATGCTTGTTCTGCTTTTTTATGAGTTGAAAACTTGTTACAGCGAATATTAATTTTTTTATAGTATATGGGATGAGGGGGAAGGGAAATTATCTTGGTGTGAGGGTTACCTTGGTGACTTGGGGGCGTTACTTTGGTGTGGAGGGGGGAAGGGTAACCTTGATAGTATGGAGTGTTATCTAGGCGGAGTGGAGGGTTACCTTGAGTGTGATGAAGCCACCAGAGAGGCCTGCCAGGCAGCTGCCACAGTATACCCACTGTAGGGAGAGTGTGGGTAGAGAGGCCAGTACCAGGTTACACAAACCCCACAACACCAGACCCACTGACGGCACCAGCATCATCGTCTTTCGCGACCACCTGGCAGTAATATACACTATTATTCACATGGAGTGACGGGACTCGAACCATTGATCCTAAGATTACTTGTCCAACGTTCCACCAACTACTCCAATCGTTTATTACGAATTTTCAGCATATATACTACGGTGTGTATTACTGAAGTTACGATGATTTCTATGTACTATGATTTCTATGTATTTCAAATATGAACAGATATATAATGAATTTTGTAACATATACAAAAAATGACATTAAGCAATATATTCCAAAATGAAGAGAAATATCTAATTTAATAGAAGTGGGTGCAAGGAGAGAAGAAGAAAGATAATTTCAAAGCCGAATTGTAGAAAAAAAATACTAAAACTAAATTTTTCATTCAATTAAAAAAATAAATGTAAGATACATAATATAAAATTTTATGACTGAAGACAAAATCACTGATTTAGAAGAGAAAATCCCTAAGATACTAAACATGAAGTTAAAGAGTTTTCTTCTTATGACCAGAGTCTTTGGTAAGATGGGTAAGGAAGAAGATGGGTAAGGATAGAAATATTGGAAAAGGGTGGGAGGGGGGAGAGAGGTAGGATATAAAAGGTAAGTGGCCCATAGAGAGAGTATTAACACCGGTCAAGACATTAACTTTGGCTCATCAGACCCCAACACTCAACTGTGATGCCGCTGACTCTTCAAATATCCAACGAAGAAGTCAGGCTAAGAAACTTAAATAAAACCAATTGGTCTTTCAAAGAAACACAAAGACAGCAAAGAGCTATAAATCGACCCCTGCAACCACAGTTAGGTGAGTACAAAGAAAGTGTAATAAGCCTAGTGACCCATGATAGGTAGGTCTTTCTCACCCACCCACACCCACTCATGTACTCCTCCAACTTATATTTAAAGCTACCCAAATGTCTTGCCTCAATGACACTGTATTTGGGAGTTTGTTCCACTTATCTACAGCCCTATTGCCAAACCAGCACTTCCCTATATCCTTTCTAAATCTAAATTTCTCTGACCTTAATCCCATGCAGCGAATCCTGTCTTGCTTAGATATTTTCAAAACTCTGTTTATATCGCCTTATTTAGTCCTGTTTTCAGTTTGTACACTTCAGTCATATCTTCAGTAATTCTACGTCTTTCCAGAGAGTGCAGATTCAGTGGCCTCAGTCTATCTCCCAAGAAAAGATTTCTAATACATGGTAATAACTTTGTCATTCTTCTGTATATTTTCCAGTGCATGTTCTGTTGTAGATTCGCCGGTATAATCGCTCGGCCCGGGCACTTTCCAAGAGGTGGCCCGACCTTGGCTCCCTGTCGAGGGAGTGTCTCAGACCAATGTCTTTCATGGGAGGAGGTACAAGTACCTCTTCGTCTTCTGGGACCAGTTGTCCCCAGGCCTAGCCCCATTCCCCGCCTCCCACGGGGCTCGGAGGGAGAAGCTAGGCTCCTTGAGCTGCCACAAACCCCGCCCACACTGGGCTCGAAGGGTGTGGCAGCTGCATTAGCAGCAGACGATGTCAGGAGGTGCAAAGGCAGCGGGTACTACAGGATCCTTTTGGAGTCACACCCCAGCTTTGGGCATTAAGCCCAATGGAAATAAGTAAGGACCCCGATGGAAATAAGTCATTCTGTCTGACTTTTTTGGGTTATCCTAGGTTCTCTACACATATGCTGCTATGTATGATAATCTATGTAACTGTATTTGTGTATACCTGAATAAACTTACTTACACTGGGTAAGCTCAAGAATGCCTCTTGCTGTGTGTATTGCTGCTACTACTACACTTGTTCATTCTGTTATGTGGAGACAACCTAGCAGTATAATTTAAATGAAACCTAATAAAAGATATATGAAGTTAAAATATAACCATAGGAATTTTATTATATTTATTTTTTGATATGAACCCAAGATTTCTACTAGCTTTATTGCAAACACTCATGCGCGGTTGTTATGGATATAAATTTCTGCCAACCCGAACTAAATCTTTTTCGCATTCACTTTGAGTAAAATTTTCATTATTTTCGTAGCATATAAGTGCAATAGTTATTTTTTTCCCTAGGATTAGAACCTCACACTTGTCTACATTGAACGGCATTGTCCACTCAGACCAGGTCACCCTTTCCAGGTCGTATTGTTACTTTCTAGTGTCCTTATCAAAAATTGTTTGACGACCTTCTTTAATGTCATCAGCAAATTTACTTATGCCGCTATTTATTGCCTCATCATTATTTTATTGTTTGTGTAGGCTGTGAACAACAAGGGTCCCAACACTGACCCTGACACAAATAGCAACAGGTTCCCATTTTGATTTCTTCCTATTAATCGGTCAGCCATGCCTTGTCCCAAAGGGATAGTCTCTTCCCACACCACTATCTTAATTAGTCCCCTGTGTGGACTTTATCATAAAAGACCTTGCTGATGTCCATATACATAGTGTTGTATTCTTTATCTTGGTCCACCTCCTGGCATACCTTAGTGAAAAAGTTAATCTAAAAGCATTTTTGGGCCGTATGTTAGGATTTTTTAAACTCACTTGAAATGCAGTATTAAAAAAATGCATGTACTAAGTTGAATTATGTATCCTTAACCTTTTTAAATTTTATTTAAAAATGAGCTAGTTCTAAAAGCTAATTAAATTTTAAAAGGTTTGTGAATTTATAGATTATATACCTTGTATTTATATACCTTTATATACCTTCAGTTAATTGTATGTCATGTACAGAAATACAGAAATTTAGGTCAGTAGTTAAATTTGTATTTGACCAACATTTGTAATAACCTCCACAAACGCCATAACAAATTGTTTTGCTAAAATTTCCAACAAATTGCTTTCAAAAAATTCCAGAAGTAGTTATAAATTAAAAGTAGTTACAAACTTATTATAAGGCTGGCCGAAATGTTCTGCATAACCAGACACTTTCTATAAAGTATGTTAATAATGTTATCTTTTTCTGGATCATTTATAAACCATATTTTGTAGAAATAAAGTTTATCCTTTATAATTATTTAACATTTCAAGAGTAAGAGCGTTGTCGAAAATACACAATATACATCGAGGGGTGTATGTCTCTCAGTGTGTATACACATATTGTTTTAACCCAGTATTTTAGGGATTAAAATTTGTTTTGTCTGGTGGTGAACAGGTTACGTGCAGCCTTAATGACCCTTGTGTAGCCAGTAGGCTTTAAACTCCATTTACCAGCGTAGTGGAAGACCTGAGAATCGGTTGACGATTGCAGCCCCCTTAAGTGACAGGCCAATTGCAGCTTCCTTAAGTGAGAGACCGGTTGCAGCCCCCTCAAGTGAGAGGCCGGTTGCAGCTTCCTCAAGTGAGAGGCCGGTTGCAGCCCCCTCAAGTGAGAGGCCAATTGCAGCCCCGTCAAGTGAGAGAGGCCGATTGCATCCCCCTTGGGTAAGAGGCTTCTTAATATTTCGTCACTCGAGGACGTTAACTACAACCAGTGCTGGTGTTGAAGAAGAACAATTCACAACTTATCCACAAATTACAGATGAAAATTAGAGGGTGTGGTCCCTCCTACATTTGGTAACGAACGATTCACGAGGGATTAAAACTGTCTGTTATACATTTTCAGTTTGTGGGTTGGTTGTGAATTGTTCCAAACACGGTATTGTGACTTATCTGTCGTGTACCTGCAACTTCGTATTTTCTGCGAGAAATGCAAACCTATGTACAATTCACCACCAGCTAGAGAGAGGAGACCCAACAGCAGCTAGATAGAGGGAACCCAACACCGGCTATTGAGATGGGGACCCAACAGTAGCTAGAGAGAAGGGACGCAACACCAACTACTGATAGGGGACCCAACAGCAGCTAGAGAGGGGACCCAAGAGTAGCTATTGAGGTGGAACTTAGAACATTAAAGAATATGACAGATAGTAGGAAAAAGTTGAGGGACGCAAGTAACTTGATAAAGTTTTGTTAAGAAAAACAAAATCTGTAACCCAAGTCATGCTGTGCACACAGTGTCTTTCTGCTGTGACACTGCTGATGTAGCTGATCAGGATGATTACTTCAGTTCTGATACCACCAACCTTAGTGTGACAGACGAAGACAGGATGTTCCAGAGATAGGACACAGCAACAAGGGGTCACAATTGGAAGTTGAAGACTCAGATGAGTCACAGGGATGTTAGGAAGTATTTCTTCAGCCATAGAGTTGTCAGGAAGTGGAATAGTCTGGAAAGTGATGTGGTGGAGGCAGGATCCATAACTAGTTTTAAGATGAGGTATGATAAAGCTCATGGAGCAGGGAGAGAGAGAACCTAGTAGCGACCAATAAAGAGGCGGGACCAGGAGCTATGAATCGACCCCTGTAACCACAATTAGGAGAGTACAGACCCTATTAGCAACTCTGTATATAGACAAAAATTAAACAAAAAGCATTGGACAGTCACAAAAAAAGGAAAGCACAACAGCAAATCATATAGAAATATTAATTGAACTCGAAGGACATTGCACAGACAGTAAGTAGTCTGAGAGTTTTGTATTTACATATGTGGTCAAAGGTACTGCTGAAGTAATATACAGACACAAGACTAAGACTTGGGTGTGCTACAGAAATAATCAGATTCATAGGAAAATGTCTGGCCGTAATATACATGCATATTATTTGGTACGTTCAGTAAGCACAGGGAAAATGTGTGTTCATTTATGATTAAGCAAGTGAGAGAACAAATCATAACAAAACTAAAAAAGATTTAAACTTTGTTGAGCAAAAATCAAAAATGTATTTTCAATAGCAGAAGTCTAGTATTATTTGATATGCCTTAGACCATCTTTTCAATGAACGAGTAAAACGAAGAAAAGAATAATAGGATAAGTTCTGCGTGGTGTGGTTCGAGAGTGCAGCTGCTGGGCTGGAACACACTCGCTTAGGCCCTTGAAGCTGGCAGATAATGACACAAATACGTTTCACAACTAACCCACCAGATGCTTATAAAACTGAACGTTTCAGTTCGTTCTGGACCGATACTAAATAGGGAGTGACTTGTTTCATCTCCCAGTTTGTGAGTTGTAGGCTATTCTAGTCACGCTATTATGAGTTCTTTACACAAAAAACATATGGAGTTAATGTATAAGATGACCTGTCTATCCAGAAGCCGTAGAGCTGGGAGGAAGCGACGGATGTAAGGGAAAAGGTGATAAAGACGGCAGCGTAGAGCTTGGCTGCTTCTGCATGCGCACTGTCCTCCATGGTGAGGCTGAGCACATCAGTGTTGAGGGTGTGCACGTCAGTGTTGAGGGTGTGCACGTCAGTGTTGAGGGTGTGCACGTCAGTGTTGAGGGTGTGCATGCTGCAACTGGAGTCCAGTTGCTCCCAGCACTTCCGTTGCAAGATAAAGTCCTGTCCCAGCAACATCTGTTGAGACAACTTATTAGTAGTCACAGGACGCAACACACCCCAGGACAATACAAGAGTACAGGATAACAATTGACAATTATTTTGGCAGTTGACGGAAGTTGGCCTTGAGCAAGCCTGTAATCTGTTGTCATATTCAATGTGAAGTAGGGTTTACCAAAGGGAGAGGAGTTTCAACAGTGTATAAAAAATGTCAAAATTAGAATGGAAGCAGAAAAGTTGTTAAAGGTGAATTTTGAAATTGAAAACCTAGTAATCCTGAGGGAAGAATTTTATAAATTGAATGTAAACAAAGTTTTTTTTAACAGAAACTCGAGGTTAACAAGTGGGATATGTTATAATCATATTTGTAATCTTTGTGGTCAATTATAAGGTTGAATAGGAGAAAAGTAATTGAAATAAAAATATAGAACTATTTCTTGTAGTGAATCTGCCAATCAGCATAAGCTGATAAGTTGTCCTAATTTCAAATTATTTGGGAAAGCTGAGTAATTATCAAATCAACACAGCTAACTATTATATTACTTCTTAGTCCTTTACTATTTACATATGTAAGACGTATTAGGCTATATAGCCTAAATACAGTAGTTCAGTAGCCGAGGGTAGTTGTGTGGACTTGGCCAGAGCTGTGTGACTTTCTCGGGTAATTAAGTGAAGTGTTTCCTAACAATGACTTGTGCAAAGAAGCTTCCAGGAGAGTTGTAGACTTCTAGAAGCAGAGTTAAGAGTTATAAAAGATGAGGTTCTACTTCTCAAGGCTCAGGCTTTAGGTCTCAAGGATGAGGCTCTACCTCTCATAGATGAGGTTCTAGTTCTCACAAAATGAGGCTCTACTTCATTCATGGATGAGGTACTAGTTCTTATGAATGAAGTTCTAGTCCAGAGGAGAAGTTCTAGTCCAGAGGAGAATGAGAAATTAAAGTCTCATTTAGATAAGCAGGATGGTAAGTGTAATAAGAAATGTAAAGTGGATGACAGTAAGGAAGGACAACACGTTGGATGTAACGAATGCAAGGTAGTTTCTTGAGGCGGGAGGTGGATGAAATTGAGAAAGGTTGGAGTAAGATTGAAGAACGAGAGTTGCTTTGCTGTTCTTCAGCGCAGTCTTTGAGAGGGAAACATGCAAGATGAATATCTCAACATGTGAAAAAAAGGGGACAAAGGTGTTGTGGAGGAAACAGAACTATCTGTATGTGCCGGAAATATTATAGCATCAATCAAAACCTGGAAATTATGAACATGTGTGTTGAATGCCACATACAGTGGTATACATTATTCTAACAGCACCTTTCAAGGCAGGTGAAATTGCCGACCTAGAAAATGTACAGAGAACTTTCACGGCGCGCATAACGGAGATAAAACACCTCAATTATTGGGAGCGCTTGAGGTTCCTAAACCTGTATTCCCTGGAACGCAGGAGGGAGAGATACATGATTATATACACCTGGAAAATCCTAGAGGGACTAGTACCGAACTTGCACACGAAAATCACTCATTACGAAAGCAAAAGACTTGGCAGACGATGCACCATCCCCCCAATGAAAAGCAGGGGTGTCACTAGCACGTTAAGAGACCATACAATAAGTGTCAGGGGCCCGAGACTGTTCAACTGCCTCCCAGCACACATAAGGGGGATTACCAACAGACCCCTGGCAGTCTTCAAGCTGGCACTGGACAAGCACCTAAAGTCAGTTCCGGATCAGCCGGGCTGTGGCTCGTATGTTGGTTTGCGTGCAGCCAGCAGCAACAGCCTGGTTGATCAGGCTCTGATCCACCAGGAGGCCTGGTCTCAGACCGGGCCGCGGGGGCGTTGACCCCCGGAACTCTCTCCAGGTAAACTCCAGGTAAACACCTACAGAGTCAACAGGAAAGGGGGCGGAGTTGCTATGTGTGTTCGGGGAAAAATTTAAAACTTTTACATCAGAGACTATAAAAAGGCAGAAGTGACAGACACGGAACTTGTTTGTCTGCCGGGTCTCGAAGTGCACGATCTACAGACCTTGATAACTTTGATGGGACGAGGGACACTTGTACTGAGGGAACCTTATACTGAGCAGGTGGTGATAGCCTGTAATGTACACTGCCCATGCAGTGATGCACTGCACATTCAATGATGCATTGCACATGCAATGATGTACTGCACATGTAGTGATGTACTGCACATGCAATTGTCTCTTACATAAGTCACCACCTTCAATTTCCCTGATTTGGTTGGCAACGCACTCATCTCACACACTGAGTGTCCGTGGTTCGATCCCTGGTACGGGTGAAAACGCTGGGCATGTTTCCTTACACCTGCTGTCCCTATTCACCTAGCTGTAAGTAGGTACCTGGGTGTTAGTCGACTGGCGTGGGTGGCATCCTGGGGGTGGTAGTATACCTCAGATAGGGCTGGACTCTTAGCCTGTAAAATTGATTTGTATATAAAATAAAACTACATTTTCATATTTGACACAACTAATATACAGACAGGACACATACGGCTAAATATACAGACATACACATAAGCGGACAGAGACAAACACAGACAATAAACAATACAGACATGAAATTACCAGTTGATAAATTAGACACATGTGCAACTCAACATTGAACAAATGTTACACGACCTATGACTTCTGCACCTCTCCTGCCAACGGTTTATAAGCTCCTTCTCAGCACGTATGCCGTATTCCTTTCAAGATTGATGGACTGACCACATCGACTCAAGGTTGAGGGACTGATTACCTCATTCTCCTCCTGTTCTTCAAGATTCTCCTTTGTATGGACTGATGAAGCCACTGTGTGGCGAAACGTTTCCTCAATAAAGATACCCGAGTTGCACATGTGTCTAATTTATCAACATGTCGGTTCTCTGAACCATTCATCTACATGAAATTACCAGACTGAGGAAGGCGAGAGTGAAAGAGAAGATGACAGGTTCTATTGTGATGTTTGCCATGACTGAACCACCTGTGACAACCACCGCTTATGGACCACGTCACCAGGTATGGACCCCTCGTGAAACCACGTGGCAGTTGTGGACCGTGTTGATGGACCGAGTCAACAGTTGTGGACCGTGTTGATGGACAGTCAACAGTTGTGGACCGTGTTGGTGGACCGAGTCAACAGTTGTGGACCACCGTGTTGATGGACCGAGTCAACAGTTGTGGACCGTGTTGATGGACCGAGTCAACAGTTGTGGACCGTGTTGGTGGAGCGAGTCAACAGTTGTGGACCGTGTTGGTGGACCGAGTCAGCAGCTGTGGACCGTGTTGGTGGACCGAGTCAGCAGTTTTGGACCTCAGGGTGGACAACTTTATGCAGAATCCATATTTTCCAATGTGCACTTGTTCACTGTTGACTTGTTCACTGCTGACTTGTTCACTGTTGACTTGCTCACCGTTGACTTGTTCACTGTTGACTTGTTCACTGTTGACTTGTTCACTGTTGACTTGTTCACCGTTGACTTGTTCACTGTTCACTTGTTCACTGTTGACTTGTTCACCATTGACTTGTTCACTTTTGACTTGTTCACCGTTTACTTGTTCACTGTTGACTTGTTCATCGTTGACTTGTTCACTGTTGACTTGTTCACTGTTGACTTGTTCACCGTTGACTTGTTCACTGTTCACTTGTTCACTGTTCACTTGTTCACCGTTGACTTGTTCACTGTTGACTTATTCACTGTTGACTTGTTCACTGTTGAATTGTTCACTGTTGACTTGTTCACCGTTGACTTGTTCACTGTTGACTTGTTCACCGTTGACTTGTTCACTGTTGACTTGTTCACCGTTGACTTGTTCACTGTTCACTGTTCACTTGTTCACCGTTGACTTGTTCACTGTTGACTTGTTCACCGTTGACTTGTTCACTGTTCACTTGTTCACTGTTCACTTGTTCACCGTTGACTTGTTCACTGTTCACTTGTTCACCGTTTACTTGTTCACTGTTGACTTGTTCACCGTTGACTTGTTCACTGTTGACTTGTTCAGTGTTAACTTGTTCATTGTTGATTTGTTCGCGATTGACTTGTTCACTGTTAATTTGTTCACTATTGACTTGTTCAGTGTTGACTTGTTCACTATTGACTTGTTAAGTGTTGACTTGTTCACTGCTAATATGTTCACTATTGACTTGTTCAGTGTTAATTTGTTCAGTGTTGTTCACTATTGACTTGTTCAGTGTCGTCCACTATTGACTTGTTCAGTGTTGTTCACTATTGACTTGTTCGGTGTTGCTTTCTTCACTGTTAATTTGTTCGCTAATGACTTGTTCACTATTGACCTGTTCAATGTTGAATTGTTCACCATTGACTTGTTCAGTGTTAATTTGTTCAGTGTTGACTTGTTCACTGTTAATTTGTTCACTATTGACTTGTCCACTATTTACCTGTTCAGTGTTGACTTGTTCACCGTTGACTTGTTCAGTGTTGACTTGTTCAGTGTTGACTTGTTCACCGTTGACTTGTTCAGTGTTGACTTGTTCAGTGTTGACTTGTTCACCGTTGACTTGTTCAGTGTTAACTTGTTCAGTATTGACTTGTTAAGTATTGACTTGTTCACTATTGACTTGTTCAGTGTTGACTTGTTCAGTGTTGACTTGTTCAGTATTGACTTGTTCACTATTGACTTGTTCACTATTGACTTGTTCAGTGTTGACTTGTTCACTATTGACTTGTTCAGTATTGACTTGTTCAGTGTTGACTTGTTCAGTATTGACTTGTTAAGTATTGACTTGTTCACTATTGACTTGTTCAGTATTGACTTGTTCAGTGTTGACTTGTTCAGTATTGACTTGTTCAGTATTGACTTGTTCAGTGTTGACTTGTTCACTATTGACTTGTTCACTGTTGACTTGTTCAGTGCCGATTTGTTCAGTATTGACTTGTTCAATGTTGACTTGTTCACTGTTGACTTGTTCAGTGCCTATTTGTTCAGTATTGACTTGTTCAGTGTTGACTTGTTCACTATTGACTTGTTCACTATTGACTTGTTCAGTGTTGACTTGTTCAGTGTTGACTTGTTCACTATTGACTTGTTCACTATTGACTTGTTCAGTATTGACTTGTTCACTATTGACTTGTTCACTATTGACTTGTTCACTATTGACTTGTTCAGTGTTGACTTCTTCACTATTGACTTGTTCAGTATTGACTTGTTCACTATTGACTTGTTCACTATTGACTTGTTCACTATTGACTTGTTCACTATTGACTTGTTCACTATTGACTTGTTCAGTGTTGACTTGTTCACTATTGACTTGTTCACTATTGACTTGTTCACTATTGACTTGTTCACTGTTGACTTGTTCAGTATTGACTTGTTCAGTGTTGACTTGTTCAGTATTGACTTGTTCACTATTGACTTGTTCAGTGTTGACTTGTTCACTATTGACTTGTTCACTGTTGACTTGTTCAGTGCCGATTTGTTCAGTATTGACTTGTTCAATGTTGACTTGTTCACTGTTGACTTGTTCAGTGCCGATTTGTTCAGTATTGACTTGTTCAGTGTTGACTTGTTCACTATTGACTTGTTCACTATTGACTTGTTCAGTGTTGACTTGTTCAGTGTTGACTTGTTCACTATTGACTTGTTCGCTATTGACTTGTTCAGTATTGACTTGTTCACTATTGACTTGTTCAGTATTGACTTGTTCACTATTGACTTGTTCACTATTGACTTGTTCACTGATGACTTGTTCACTATTGACTTGTTTACTATTGACTTGTTCAGTATTGACTTGTTCACTATTGACTTGTTTACTATTGACTTGTTCACTATTGACTTGTTCACTATTGACTTGTTCACTATTGACTTGTTCAGTGTTGACTTCTTCACTATTGACTTGTTCAGTATTGACTTGTTCACTATTGACTTGTTCACTATTGACTTGTTCACTATTGACTTGTTCACTATTGACTTGTTCACTATTGACTTGTTCACTATTGACTTGTTCAGTGTTGACTTGTTCACTATTGACTTGTTCACTATTGACTTGTTCACTATTGACTTGTTCACTATTGACTTGTTCAGTGTTGACTTGTTTACTCTTGACTTGTTCAGTGTTGACTTGTTCACTATTGACTTGTTCAGCGTTGACTTGTTCACTATTGACGTGTTCACTATTGACTTGTTCACTATTGACTTGTTCAGTGTTGACTTGTACACTATTGACTTGTTCACTATTGACTTGTTCACTATTGACTTGTTCACTATTGACTTGTTTACTATTGACTTGTTCAGTATTGACTTGTTCACTATTGACTTGTTCACTGTTGACTTGTTCACTATTGACTTGTTTACTATTGACTTGTTCAGTATTGACTTGTTCAGTATTGACTTGTTCACTATTGACTTGTTCACTGTTGACTTGTTCACTATTGACTTGTTTACTATTGACTTGTTCAGTATTGACTTGTTCACTATTGACTTGTTCAGTGTTGACTTGTACACTATTGACTTGTTCACTATTGACTTGTTCACTATTGACTTGTTCACTATTGACTTGTTTACTATTGACTTGTTCAGTATTGACTTGTTCACTATTGACTTGTTCAGTATTGACTTGTTCACTATTGACTTGTTCAGTATTGACTTGTTCACTATTGACTTGTTCACTATTGACTTGTTCAGTATTGACTTGTTCACTATTGACTTGTTCACTATTGACTTGTTCACTATTGACTTGTTTACTATTGACTTGTTCAGTATTGACTTGTTCACTATTGACTTGTTCACTATTGACTTGTTCAGTGTTGACTTGTTCAGTGTTGACTTGTTCACTATTGACTTGTTCAGTATTGACTTGTTCACTATTGACTTGTTCACTATTGACTTGTTCAGTGTTGACTTCTTCACTATTGACTTGTTCACTATTGACTTGTTCACTATTGACTTGTTCAGTATTGACTTGTTCACTATTGACTTGTTCAGTGTTGACTTGTTCACTATTGACTTGTTCACTATTGACTTGTTCACTATTGACTTGTTCAGTGTTGATTTGTTCAGTGTTGACTTGTTCAGTGTTGACTTTTTCACTATTGACTTGTTCAGTGTTGACTTGTTCGCTGATGACTTGTTACCTGGAGTTTACCTGGAGAGTTCCGGGGGTCAACGATCCCGCGGCCCGGTCTGTAACCAGGCCTCCTGGTGGATCAGAGCCTGATCAACCAGGCTGTTACTGCTGGCTGCCCGCAATCCAACGTACGAGCCACAGCCCGGCTGGTCAGGTACCGACTTTAGGTGCTTGTCCAGTGCCAGCTTGAAGACAGCCAGGGGTCTATTGGTAATCCCCCTTATGTGTGCTGGGAGGCAGTTGAACAGTCTCGGGCCCCTGTTAGTTTGTTCACTATTGACTTGTTCAGTGTTAATTTGTTCACTATTGACTTGTTCAGTATTGACTTGTTCACTGTTGACTTGTTCACTATTGACTTATTCACTTTTGATTTGTTTAGTGTTGATTTGTTCACTATTGACTTGTTCACTGTTGACCTGTTCACTATTGACGTGTTCACTATTGATTTGTTCACTATTGATTTGTTCGGTGTTAATTTGTTCACTATTGACTTGTTCAGTATTGACTTGTTCACTATTTACTTGTTAATATTGACTTATTCGCTGTTGACTTGTTCAGTGTTAATTTGTTCAGTGTTGACTTGTTCACTGTTGACTTGTTCGGTATTGACTTGTTCAGTGTTGACGTGGTTGAGAGTGGCGTGGTATATGCTGAGTGATCAACAATGGTAGCTAGAGATTACCACTGTCTCTTTCCACCCCTTAAACAACCACCATCATCACCGCCTCATCGCTTCACATTGTTCTCTAGATATCAGTTAGGCTAGTGTGCTCACCTCTCTGTGCTCATCTGTTTGTGGTTACGGGGGTCGAATCTCGGCTCTTGACCCCTGCCAGGTTCTCTCACGTCAAGGTTCGTAGGCTCTAGTGTACATGTTCATGAAACTGTGTATGGAGTCTGCGCCACATATTCATCTAATAAGTCATTCCACTTCCTGACACTCTGACGACGAGGAAATGTATCGTAACATTCATGTCATTCATTTATGCATTCAGTGTCCATCTGTGCCTCCGTATATCGTGTCCCTTTTTATATAATCGTTCTCTGTGTACCACCATGTCAGGTCTTCTCAATATCGTATACATCGTAATCATGTCTCCCCTGGACCTTCTGTCCTCTAATCATTAGATTCATTTATTTTATATTTATCTTGGTTCCCTTCCCTTAGTTCCGGAACTAATCTCGTTGGAACCGCTGCACTTTTAAGTTTCTTGTCATGCTTGTTCAAGCATGGGCTACGTGCTAGTACTTCATAACAAAGTTCATATATGTCATATATAGGCTCCTGAAAGTTGATCTTCGGTTTGCTAGTTGCAGAAGGATCACAAATAAATGACAGAAAATGGCAAAAAAAAAAAAAACGCAGAACTAGAAATAACTGCAAGGATATAAAAAGAGGCTAATAAATAGTTTGAAAGTTATTGCTAAAATTCAGCCAAATTTACTCCATAGCAACATAAGGAAGATGGCTTTAATGGGTCAAGTGATACGGCTGAAGAAGGAAGAAAGAGCACTTACGGAGAATGCCCGTGACGCATGCAAAGAACTTAGCAAAAGATTCAAGGAAGTCTCTAAATAAAATACGGTGAAGTAACCTAACAGCAACAAAGTCAGGACAGACCAACCAGAGGTAGAAAACATCCTCAACAAAGAAGGAAGAAAGGAAATTACTATAAAAACTGGAAACAAGAAAAGACCCTGAAAGAAGCGTGACCCTGTAGCCAAGACCTTAAGCCAGTCACTCAGTCACTCCATATGCTGAG